TACAGGGTCTTGCTAAAGAGGGCTGTTAGTGTATTCATAGTCAGAGACAGAGTGAACCACCTAGTGGGTGGGATGTATTCTTTTTGCACATCTCTTAAGTCTTTAACTTTTTCATGCTCTCCTGATGGCACACTTGAGGTATTTCCCATAGTTTCCTTGATACCTGGAAATACTTTCACCTCCCTCCCCATATCCAGGTGGGCAAGATTGTTGTTATTGTTGTTGTTAGGTGCCATTGAGTTGTCTCTGACTCATACTGACCTCATGTACAGCAGAATGAAACACTGCCCAGTCTGTGCCAGCCCCACGATCCTTGCTATACCTGAGTCCATTGTCGCAGCCACTGTGTCAATCCATCTTGTTGAGGACCTTCTCATTTTTCGTTGTCCCTCCACTTTGCCAAGCATGATATCCTTCTCCAGGGAATGGTCCCTTCTTACAACATGACCAAAGTAGGTGAGACAAAGTTTGGTCATTCTCACTTCCAGGGAGAATTCTGCTGCACGTCTTCCAGGATGGATTTGTTAGTTCTTTTAGCAGTCCATGGTACTTTCAGCATTCTTTGCCAGCACCACAACTCAAAAGCATCAACTCTTCTTCGGTTTTCCTATTTCATTGTCCAGCTCTCCCATGCACATGAGGTGACTGAAAATACCATGGCCTGGATTAGGCCCATCTTAGTCTTCAAGGAAACATCTTTGCTCTTCAACACTTGAAAGAGGTCCTTTGCAGCAGATTTGCCCAATGCTATACGACGTCTGATATCCTGACTGCTGCTTCCATTGGTGTTGATTGGGCAAGAAGATGCCACAAAATGACCTTACGTGGGAATCTAGGGTCCCAGCTGAGTTCTTTTCTTGATGCTAGCTGTGCATGTGTACATTCCCATGAATACATGTTTAGCTGCACCGCAGGCTAACCAGGCCAGGGGAAGATCACACAGGCTGTCGTAAGTACATCATACTCAGATGTTTGCATTTTGGTTTGACATCTATTTCTGGTAATTTTCTTCTCTTTGCTCTGCCCCGCCCTCAATCTTTTTGTGGAGGTAGATGATGATTATAGGAAGTCAATAGTTTTTCCTAAGCATGTGTCATTAGTAGCAGAGATAAAGCCTTCATTCACTTAAAAAAAAATAGAGGTTTTAAGTATTAATTCTCCCATAAAATTTGAGCACTGTTGTGGTATAACTGCTAACAAGAAAAATTATTATCTTTGCAAGGTAATTGGTTTAGAATTTAGTTCACAAGAAGTGGTGCCTTGAAATGCATAATTAACTTAACCACATTTCTATCCTTTCTCTCCTGAAAAGGGGAGACTGAAAGCATTCCCTTCTATCTTTAGTTTTCCCAGATGTATTTCAAAGTCCCACCTGCTTTCCTGAGGGTCCAGTCACCCCGGTGACAGCTGTTCTGTCATAGTAGTGACCCAAGTCATTTGCCTTGAAAGCAAATGGGGCAATGAAATGAGTGGCTTTTGTTATCCATAAAAATAAATGAACATAATGATTAAATCTTTTTCCTCGTTTAACAGGGCATGAAACTAGTTTGCTGAATGAGGGCACATGCTGTAACATGAGTGCTTGAGTTTGGTACGTGACTAATGGCAGCAGAAAAATAATTATTAATTGCTTTACCCATGAGAAGAAAAAAATATTAACTCTTGCTGGATTGAAGCCTATTGCCTGAATTAAGGGTAATTCTTTTTTTTCCTCCCCTTAGAAATGTATATACCAAAAACCAAACCAAACTCACTGCCATTGAGTTGATTCCACTCAAAGTGACCCCTCCTTGGGTTTCTGAGGCCCTTCCTTGGGTTTCTCCTTGGGTTATCTCTATAGAAGTAGATTGTACAATCTTCCTTCTGAGCAGTGGCTGGTAGTGAACCTCCAGCTTTCTCGTAAGCAGTCAAATGCCTTAGGCGCTATGCCACCAGAGCTTCTAGAAGTATATAAGGAAACTTTATCGTCATGCTACAATCAGCATGTTCTGGGATCTCTTATAGGCACACAAGAATTTTCCCTTAGCATAAAAAGTGTGGTGATGCCCACCTGTTTGATAATATTTTAAAGGGTTCATAAATAACTGAGAGAAACAAACTTTCATCACAGTTAAAATGTTTAATGACAAAATTAGAGTTTGCTGTAATAGTGAATCAATAGACCAGGTGTTACTTGTCTCTGAATGAAACAAAAATTATATTTGACATCTTCAAGACCTTGTGAAGAATTCATAACTGTACAGCAGACATCAGCAATGTTACACTTTTGAAAATTAAGAGTAAAACCTATTTTTAAATATCCCTTATTTAGGGTATTTTGTAAATATTTTTACATAAATGCACAACCTTTGCTAGCCACAAAAGTAGTAGTAAGACAGATTTCACTGTAATTTAAAGTCTAACACATAATCTTTATTTTTTTCAGAGCTTAAAAAAAGTTAACTACTGATTGTGTTACATTTTACAAATACATTCTTTAATATGAAACATTAACCTGAATAACTGTATACTTCCTGTACACAGATATCTAATAATACTAGCAAGAATACTACACAGCTACATTCCAGGAAGAAGTGGTAACACTGGAAAGTTTCTTTTCTTTATGTGCTGTCAGTACAATTTAAGAAGTCCTGCACAGAAATACAGTATCCCCCAAATTTATAGTGAAGTGCAGAAATAAACAGAAATCAAAAGTCTTCTAGAAAGCTCCACCAAACAAATTGGTCCCAAATGATGTGAGTCATTTTAGCAAGTTTCTCTAGGTTAGACTCTATTAATATTTTGTATTGCAGCACCTTCTACAAAAGGATAGCAAAGAATATCACATGTGTTATCACATGACTCTTCTGCAAGAGGCTGGGAGGTAGAGGAGAGAGACAGGGATTGCTGTTAGAACTTCTCTGTTGAGGATGGGCTAGATAGACATTGACACATGAAACTCAAGGGTACGGCCATAGTCTGGAAGGAAATCAATAGAGGAAGCTAATAAAGATTCAGATGGAACTTCCTCCTAATCCAGGCTATTTCCAATAAGCCTTGTGTCTGAAAGGATACATAGAGTGAGCATGGGGAAAGGGCAAGGTGTGGAATATGTATTCACGAAGAGTAACTATCACAGTTCTACCAGGAGAGAAGAAGCTCAGATTTCACAGTATGCTTCTGACTGCATCCTCTGCTGCTTTAGAAGCAGCTTCCCAAACCCTGTTGTGAGATGGATGGCAACAGATTTTATCCTTGAGTTTGGCCGACTGTCAGGAGTTTTAGATTTACCCTTTTAATTATTTATGCCAACTATCTCTGAAGCAAGAAACCAACTTGGGAAGGTGAATATGTATATGTGTGTGTATATATATGTTTTCTGAACTGAGGTCTGCAAACAAACCCTATTTGAAATGATAACTGGGAATTTTTTTTTCTTTAAGAAATTATAAATGCCTCTAATGGCACTCACCAGATGGTAAGTTCCTTGCTTCCTTAAACTTTAAAGACACAAAAAGAAAAGTACAAAATACAACAGTAAACATATTGTTTACTAAATAAACTTTATATTTCTTTACTGTATCATCTCCCTAAAAGGATTCAGAAATTTGTCTTAGGCAAATAACTTTTCTTTTGACATGAACTGCCAAAAATATCTCTCTTTTTCAATCATTAAAACTTTCTGTATCTCTAGGATTGCTTCATTAGGAGAGCTTTATGATATTTAAATCAACATTAATAATCTTAAAGCCATCTTATGCCACTATGTAAGGTGCGACCATATCCCTGGACTCGATTGGCTCAATGGGTAGAAAGGAGCCCTGAAGACTCAGGCAGCATAATGAATGCATTGCAGTGGGAGGCTGAGGATGTGTCTGGGATGTGTGCAGCCTGCCTCCTTGTTTCATGAAGAAAAAGCACAGCTTTTAGGCTTGCATTTTAACCCTGGAGGACACCAGAACTCACAAACTCAAACCTAGTCTATCTGGAGTAATACCAGGTCAGGAGGTGTGTCAGTCAACTGTATTAAATCTGACTGCAAAAAAGTCTTCATGGCTGTGCTGTTTTATGTCAGTGTAAGAAAGCTACAATCACCATGAAATGCAATTTGTCAAGAAACCCATAATTTAAGTTACATTAAATAAACAGATAACAATAACAGCATCAAAACCTCTGAAAATCAGAAACCAAGGAACCAAGACCATTTCCCAAGGACAACGTGAAAGTCTCTAAAATATGCATGACTTTGTTAAAAAAAAAAGATTTTAAATGTAGTATCTTTTCACATTATCATTTACACAGACCTTTATCTGGGCAAATCAATTCTTGATAAAAATCCAAGCTCTTTTTAATACCAGTTACCATCATTTTGTACAATGACAAAAGAGAGAAACAGTCTAGAAAGCACAGAGTTTTTAAGTAGGCTTTACCTTAGGTCTCCTATCTCAAACTTTTTTTTCCTTCATACAATAATTCCAAATAATCAGCCTGGAAACAAGTAGCAGAAGTATCTAATTTTAACAATTTAATTTTAAACAATTTTAGTTTGAGGACTGTAGCTCAGAAAGTAGATTTCTATCTGGAATTCTGATTTGCATTTTTGAATGCTAGTGATGGCTCATGCAAAAGATGCTCACAAAAAGAACAAAATTGAAGACTGCTGTTTCCCCTGATAGATCCAATTGTTTCCCGTGGTACAGAATTACATCTCAGGATATAGAATCTTAACCTTCTAATTAAGAGAGCAGCTAGGAGACTGAGGGAAACCAATCACTGCTTAACTTTTATTTTCATCCAGAAACAATAACATCTGATGTCACCACATTGAAGTGTCTTTCTGTGTAATATCAGAAAAGATAAAAAAAAAAAAAAAAAATGCATGGTGACAGTTTAGACCCAGCTCATTTGGTACAAAATTCATATTCAAATTATAAAAAAAGGAAAAAAGAAAAATGCATACAAACACACACATACACAAATGTTGGGGGGAGGGGGGAATACAACCAAAAAGACCAAAATGGAGCTGGTGCTTTTGTAGCATTTTTCAGCAAGATCTTTAGGGAAATGTATAAATGTAACATCTTTTCTTTTATACTAACATCTGAAAAAGGAAACCAAAAAACCTGAATGTCCATATACTGGAAAAAAAGAAGCAAGTGGAGGTCCAGAATTCTGTAAAAACTGCTGAACAAACTCTTCAATTCCTCTTAAGTGGTCACCAGGATAGGCAGTTTCTCAACATTTGTGCTTCATGGCAAGCTAAGGAGAGAGAGAGAAATATAGGTAAGACCTTATTAGCAGCAGAACTGCTTTACTCTGTGAAAAGGACTGGGTGAAGAAGTCACTGGCCTACCTAGTAAATAAGTAACGTTTTCCCAAACAGTTCATTGAGACTGCATTTGTTAATTTTGTTGGTGTATGCACCTAGATGGGAGAGAGTGCTGGGGGGTGTTCCTGCCTCCCTCTGAAGGAACACATGAAAAAACCAGTGCACAGACAGAAGAGTGACTTACTCTAGGAACACGTGGGAATAGAACAAATGTTCTGGGTCCCCAGGTTATTAGTTATTCTGGAAAACCAACACTCCTCAAATGCAAATGTTGGCTAACATCTCATAGAGTATTAGAAATCAACAAATGTAGAGAGACATTGCAATATTCCACTCAATATCCAGCTTGGACACTCAACCAAGTCCAAAGCCCTTGACAACTAAATTGTGTTATTGACCAGGACTGAACAGATGAAATCCAGACCTCGGTTTACTATTCTTCCCACTAGTATGAGAAATGCAGTCTACTGAAATGCCAGATCTTTATAAATAGGAACACAAAATATCACTGTATCATGCAGTAGTTTCCCAAACCCAGCTGGAGTCCATGATGATGCATTTAAGGAAATGATATGCAGGTACAGGACATAAAATTAATTCTGCCATTGCTTTTCTCAGCCACATTTTTTTTTTTTTTTTTTTTTTCCAAACAGCCCATACATTGATGTGAACCAGAGAATAGAGTGAGGCTGAGTTGCATTTACTCATTTATCCAGAGTCTGACATTAGGGAAAAATACCTGAGGGTAGAGGTAACAGAGGTAGCCTGGGTGGTGCAAACAGTTAAACAATTGAAAAGTTGGCAATTCAAACCTATTCACAGGTGTCTTGGAAGACAGGTCTGGTGATCTGTTTCTGAAAAGTCCCATCTTTGAAAATCCTAGGGAGCAGTTCTACTCTGTATAAATGGGGTCACCATGGGTCAGGATTAACTTGATGGCAACAACAACAGGAGTAGGAGTGATGAGAAGGGAGGCCGGGTGCTGCAACTTGGACTTCCTTTGAGCAAAGCACAGGTGATTCTCCACAGGTAATAACTTTGACGAAAGCTCTGTCATCTGCCTCATGACCATATTCTCTGTGTTTAAAGAATTAGCAAGGTAGATCCCACTTTTCTACTTAGTGGTGGTCTTCATTTTCCTGGAAGATGTCAATGATCCATTTCTCCAGAACAATTCAGAGCATCCTGAGTCTTCCCTTCCCCTTCTTGGCAGCTTTGACTGAGTTATAATTCTGGGGCTGCCACCTCACCTAGGCCACAAAGCAAAAGCAGTATCAACATTGCCCTCACAGGCTGTAACCAGGGCCAGGCCAGCCTATGACGGAGATGCAAATGGTTAATACTCTTGGCTGCAAACCCAAAGGGTGGCAGTTATGGTCCACCCAGAGGTACCTCAGGGGAAAGGCCTGGTGATCTCCTACGAAAAAACCAGCCACTGAGCACCCTGCAGAGCACAATTCCATACTGACACACGCAGTCACCATGCGTCGGAATCAACTCGATGGTAACTGGTACTGGCATTGAGAAGCCTCAGCTGAAGGATCTCCTGATGCCTCTGCCCAGGGAAGCCAGACTAAGCAGGGGACCCCCACAGACCTTCTGTGGCACTAACACCAACAGTCAGGCCCAGTATTCATGAAGTCCCAAGTATGTCCAGGCTGGCATGCTAAGTGCTTTGGTTTTAAGCCAAGAAGGGTGGAGGTGGTTAATAACGCTTGATCTTGAAGAGTTTACAATCCAGGAAAGAGGGGAGGTGAGAGCAACAGCAGAGCCATTTCTCACGTCCCATCTGTCCCTCCTCCCTAGCCTCAATCTCAGCCTCTCTGTTGTATAGCCTCACTTCTTGCTCTGCCTCCAGTTTTTATACATTATTTAGCAACAGGGATCACTCAAAGCAACCCAGAATGGTTAAGTGTTGTGCATAATGAACACCAGCCATAAATATTTGATCCGTGCTGCTGTCCTGGTATTCATACAGCTGTTAACCTTCAAAGAGTAAGTTTGTGCCAATTCATCCACAGCCATTAATCTTCAGCAGCTACTCAAACCAGGCCCTAGTTACCACAGAGTGTGTCAGGAATGGTGCTAGCTTCATACTAAGGGCAGCCCCAGCCAGGAGCGGCTGTGACCAGCTCAGTCTCACAGAAATCCAACTGGATTGGACATTGGTATTGGTAGAACTGTGTCCCGCCAAAAAAGGTATGTTAAAGTCCTAACCCCCAGTACTTGTGAATGTGCCCTATTTTGAAATAGCATCTTTGCAGATGTGATTAGGTGACATAAGGAGGGTGTACCCTAATTCAACATCACCACTGTCCTAATAAAAGAGGAAAAGAGACAAAGAGACAAACAGAGAGAAATGAACCATGGGAAATACAAAGGCAGAGCTAGGACTGATGATGCTGTAAGTAGAAGAAATACCTGCAGCTACCAAAAGTTGGAAAAAAAAATAAGGAAGGATGTTGCCCTAGTGACTTCTGAGAAAGCATGACTGTGACAACACCCTGGATTCAGACTTCTATTCTCCAGCACTATGCAAAAATAATTTTCTGTTGTTTTAAGCCACTCAGTTTGTGGCACTTAGTCTTGGCATCTCTAGGAATCTAATACAGACATTTAGCTATTTGCCCTCAGAAAATATTTGCTGATCAAATATTATGCAGAAAATGGCATAATTCCCATGTACCTAGTGTTTCTTTGTTTTATTCTACATGAGTTAGATGTGTTAGAATGTGGAAGGCAAGCACAACCTTCCAAGTACAGTAGAAAGGCACTGGATGAAATGAGGTCAGGATACATTGATGCTATTGGTTTCCTGCTATAACTTTGCTATATGATTGTGGTGTAGTAAATTACTTAGTGTGGCTTTTCTACCCATAAGTCTTTGTAAACTCCAAGGTGGGATTTTCTATGAGCAACTGAGGAGCTCCTGATTGCTGAAGTTGTCCACCTGGAGTATTTCTGTTGGGCGTGGCACAAAACAATGTTCTAGGAGGTGCCCTCTCTCTCTCAAGTGCTTAGAGTTCTGATGCTATGATTGGTTAGTTTGATCACTGTCGGGCTCAAAAGGAGGCCTCCTAGAGGCAGAACTCTCTCTGACTGCTGGTGGAGGAAGACGTGCTGCTAAAAGAGACACAGGCTCCTGAGACACATGTTGCTGGGAAAGAGATGCGAGAGACACACATTGCTGAATGAGACACCGAGGGACCAGCACTGCTGGGAAAGAGACTGTGAGAGACTGTTGGCTGAGGGACTGTGGGCTGGGAGAGAGACTGAGCATTTTTCCTGAACTTGAATTGTAGCCTGTGGTGCTTCCCTAATAAACCCCATAATCTGTGAAATCTGTGTGGCCACTGCAGCGAATTATTGAACCCAGGAGAGAGGTGGTGGGTGCTTTGGGAGGAATGGTTGGTGAAAGGGCTGGAGGGAGGCAGCATGTCTGGCCTTGTAGGAATAGGCCTTGTGTTACTGCTGGTAATCCTGTCTTCCTCTTGTGGGATTAGAGGAGGTCAGAACATGTGGCCTCCTTGTCCTTTTTGCAATGACCTTATGCTCTGAAGTCACAACTAGTCCATATCTCAGTTTCCTCATATGCCAATGATACCATCTCCAACTCTAAACACTTACAGGTTAATTCAGATGGCAGAGTTCTTATAAGACAGTGGTTTAAAATTTCCTTTTGGGAGTTCATTTTTTTTTGGTATATACACCAAAAAACCAAACTCACTGCCATTGAATTGATTCTGACTCATAGCGACCCCCCCGTTGGGTTTCCGAGGTGGTAAATCTTTATGGAAGTAGATTACACAGTCTTCCTTCCGTGGAGTAGCTGGTGGGTTTGAACTGCCAACCTTCTGGTTAGCAGTCAAATGCCTTAGGCACTACACCACCAGAGCTAATTATATATATACATAAGCCAAAAAAAAAAAAAAAACCCAAACTCACGGCTGTCGAGTCGACTGTGACTTATAGCAACCCGTCCTTGAGTTTCTTAGGTGGTATCACTACAGAAGTAGATTGCTCAACCTTCCTTCCGAGGAGTGGCTGGTGGGTTTGAACTGCCAGCCTTCCGGTTAGCTTTGAAGTGACTTAGGCACTACACTACTGGAGCTCCATATATATATGTGTGTGTATATATATATATACACACACACACACATATATATTGGGCAATCTACTTCCATAGTGATACCGCCTCAGAAACCCAAGGAGGGGTCGCTATGAGTCAGAGCCAACTCAACAGCAGTGAGTTTGGTTTTTTGGTTTATATATATATATGTTGTTGTTATGTGCCGTCAAATCAGACCCAACTCATAGCGACCCCTCTTTGGGTTTCTGAGGCAATATCACTATAGAAGTAGAACACCCCATCTTCCTTCCGAGGAGTGGCTGGTGGGTTTGAACCGCAACCGCCGGCCTTCTGGTTAGCAGTCAAGTGCCTTAGGCACTATGCTACCAGAGCTCTTTTAATTGAAGAAGATGGGCAGGCCCATGTCCTGCAATAAAATACCACTGGATAAGTTTGAACCACCAACCTTTAGGTTAGTAGTCAAGTACAAACAATTTGCTTCACAAAAGGATGTACTATGTGACCTAATGTACCTAACTAATAATAAGAACAACAATAATAAATCACTATCATTACTGGGCATGGGGAAGGAGCACTTTAAGAGGCTGGGCTCTTGAATTCTCTTCTGGCTAAGAGACCTGCGTGCAGTAGTTGTCTCTAGTAGGGACAGATATAGTCATTTCTTCCCTGAGAGCAGAGAAATGCCACTCTCCCTTCCTTCCCACACAAGCGTAGGCTTGTGTAAAACATGGCAGATGAATGTTCCTTTCTGCAAGAAATGTCATTTGTAGATGGCTAGGTGTGGATAACACTCCTGCCTGCTGACTCACTGACTGTGGTGGGGCCGCCAAAACATTGTAA